TACGCGTGTAGGTCATATTGACTTATGCATACTGTGGAATTTTCAGGTTGATCCGTTGAATAGTTTGCCAGAAACGGCTAATTAATGCTCATCATGAAAAGCCATTTATAGGCCGGTAGGGAAAGCAATACGAACTCAAACTCCGTTTGAGCAATGAGAGCTGAACTTACCGTAGTGAAATAATAACGAATATTTATTTCTATTCCATGAGCCTTCAGGTCAGAATTTTATGAAAATTCAACTGATTGTTTTGCCTGTAATATTCAGTTTTCTATTTTTTCATAGCCGATTTTGTTTAGATTTGTCACCTGTTGGCAGAAATTAACTCCAGTCTGAAATTTCCAAAATAACGAACTGAATCTAACAGCTGTTGATCTGGAAAGTATGTCACTGTCAACTTACTACATTTTTTCTTTCAGGTGAATCCTAGTGTGAATGCTCATCTCTCGAAAAATTATTCCGTTTGGAATATAATGAAAGTGGATCTGAGTTCGAAACTTTTTTGAGAACTCTTTCAGTTTTCTTACTTCCATATTCATGTTGGAAGAACGTTTCAAAAAAAGATTTACATTGCCATATTCACCTTGAATTATTTCTCATGATATTGAAATTTAGGTTGGGTTAGGTTAGGTCCAAAGTGAGTGGATCTGTTCGACCCCTCACCGCAACCCGCAAGGGTTTTTTGTGGCTCACATATATTCACACTGGATCAAATTAACCTAGCTTCTTTACAAAGTCTATCAGTTCGTATAGTGAGTGGCCTATCAGGTCAGATGGTAAGTGTGAGTACGGCTCTGACGTACTCTTCAAACCTAATTCAGTCTCTAACGGGGCAGGCACATAGTATGAGCTCCGTCTTCCGACAGTCCAAGTCTCTGCATATGATGACTCAAATGACAGTGACCTCTAAGAAGGCCTGTTAGATATCGTAGTTCATCCCTACTGTAGTCCAAAAACTGTTTGGTATCAAGCTTCGAAGAGTGAATAAACGCCTTGGAGTGAGCCAAAATTCTGGAAAATTCTGCCAGAGGTCCTTAAATCTTCTTGCCATTCAGGTTCTAGTCCGATGAAGCTGCTTGCAGCATTCTCCTTTGCAAGGGAATCAGCAGCCTTTCAGGCCAATATGGTCAGGAATCCAGACCAAGGACAATCTGTCAAGTCTTTCTATCGAAGAGACTTGTTTTTGGCAATCTGCTACCAATTTGGATGTTGCTCGGCAGGATCCAAGAGCGTCCAACGCCACATGACTATCCGAGTATATTTTTATGGACATCATCATTTGAGAGAATGAGATATGTTCAATCTCAATATAACGCCTTTCATATATCGTTGACCACCCGCTTTATCAACCCTGGAGTTTATATAGCATACTAAACAAAAACGGGAAATCAATTCTAAACGGTAACAAATTAAATCAAATTCGAACCCAGTTGAAATATTTATAATTCCTTCCTCTAACATCTACACCTTTCTCAGTTGGTTGCAAACTTGTCAACAAATCCCCTGGTTTACCTGTCAGTTCATAAATATTATCAACCTTTCATCAACCGTTACTATAGGACTCTCCCTACAATACTGGCAGGAAGTCTTGAGCTCCTGAGGCCACAAAGTGTCAAATATGAGAAGATATTACTTTCTTAATCGTAAACAATCCCAAAATATTTATAAGATATAAATTATATTACACCTATAGCACAAATGTTTCAATTCTAAGGGGGTTGTAATGAACCCAGGCTTCCCAAAGAAGAAAGGAGGATGTCTCTTCAATATTTGAGACGTTGCTGTTTTGAAGTTATACTTCACCTTAGATATAGCTATATTGCCAGCTCACAGTAGGTTGAGGGAATGCATTCATCTACATATGCATAAAAGCATATACCCTACACTAATATGTTTTCCCCTTTTGGGCAGGTTTGAGGAACATAACTCTTTGTTGAGATAATAAATCTAGCATCAAAAACCTAGTCACTGATAAGTTATTTGTCCCTTTCTCAATACCTAAGCTTATCTGTGTGCGTCTCCCTCAAGGTGGGTTGAAGAACAAGAATGGTCTTAGAATTCCGAACTTAGGTCTGCAGTGTTCTGTCGGTACCACAATTGTGATCGGCTCAACAGCGGGTAACTACTAACTACTGCTACTACTGTACTAAGCATTCATACAAGGATATCTAGTCTTACACAAATACTAACATAAGGAAATGGTATCCAGATAAAAGAAGGCCTAAAATGAAACAATTCATATTAGATGGTAACGGTGCACTGGAAGTGATGTCCAGGACGATACGTCTGGATAGAATGATCAAGCTCATTCTCTGAATGTATGAGTTGTCTCGTTGATAAATACCAACTCACCTTTGATGTCGTGTTGTCTATAGGTTTACTTTTGCCCCAAAGAAGCCAAGATTCAAATCAGTAAGATTCGGTTCTCCGTAAGAAATTGAATACAACAAGTGAGTTGAATGTTTTATCAGCATCCAAATTCCAGGAATGAAACGATTTCCTATTCTTATAAAAGATGATCTTACTTTGTTAATCCGAAAAATCAAGAAGTTTGGACAAAAATTCCAAAATTAGCAAAATGGCTACCAAAAGTACCACAAAAATGTTGAATCCCGGCGGCAAGACATTCATGGAACCAAATTCACAGAACACCCTCACTACACAATTCACCGTACAGAGCACAGAACCCTTAGAGGATTCGAATATATGTTCGAATATAACTAATGCGTTCGAATATATCCTTGTATAGTTGTTAATCAGTAAATGAGAAGTAAACGAATGTCGAGGTATTGAAATATCCCGAAACCTTCATGGAAGTATTAATTCCAGGTTTAAATAGTCGTTGACCTCAAAACAAAACAAATGACAAAATAAAACCGTAACAACAGGAACAACTCTATGTATACTTCATCAATTTTTTTTATTCCTGATCAGAATTATCGCGTACTATTGATTATCTGAGTATTCAAGAAAAGACTTACCTCTAATATTGTAGCAGTTTTTTTCATAATGGTGGGTGTGAATTGAACCAAGTGGCCCATTCTCAAATTGGTGAAATCGTAAATGATGACATCACCAACTGGATAATCTTCTTGAAATCTTACTTCAATAACGTTATAAGCTAAAGCAAAAAAATGGCAAATGTCGAAATTTTCAGTGTTGTCGTGAAATGCTTGAATAATCGTTACACGATAGCCTTCATCTGTTGTTTTTGGCAGCGGTAAAAAACATCTGAAAATAATAAGAATTGGAAAATAAACAAAATAAAAAAAAAAGAAATTTTTCTTTCAGTTTGTGTCTGAAAGTTACTTCTTTGCATGATCTACACATCCACGTATAGAGTTACTTATTTTCAAATTGATTATTTTCATTCCTTTCTTTGGAAGATTCTCTCATTCATTTTTTTGTATAACATTCTGAAGGGTAACAGAAAAAAAACAAGTATTGTTTCTGAGCAATTCGGAAAAGTATCTGGATTACTTAAGTCTTCAAGACCCTATCATATTTTGACTGAGTTTTCTAGTAATTCATTTCAATGCTTCATTTTCGATTTGTCGTTTTTGATTTTTTTGTGTTTTTAGAGTTCAATTTTCATGTATCTATTTGTTCAAAACCGAACAAGTTGTGTTATTACCTTTCATTCATTTTTTATATTAACGTATATGAATTCAAAGGTATCGCGAAAACCAATGAATTTTTCAAGATTTCGTTGAAGCTATGCAAGTCCTTTATTATGTATTTCAATTAATGGTCGAATGAATGAGAAAATCTTTGAAATACCTTCAATTTCAGAGAAAACGAACCGTATCACGATCAATTTCAGAAGAACAAATGAAATTGTGATAAACATTTTAGAGGACTTACAGATCATCCATTGTATTTAGCATATGTGGTGAAAGAGGATGTTTGTTTTCGAAAAAATCTGGAAACAAAGATCGCATTGTGTAATACATATCGATTTTCTGTTTGGCGTTTTCGATACTGAACTTATTCATCATGAGGAAGCACATTATCATGTGATTGTCTGAAAAAAAACAAAAACAATTTGACTCTCTGTGGTATAGCTGTGAAGAGGAGTTTTCAAAGATTTATTATTATCATCTTATGAACATGGAATCTTAGTTTTGTCGTACAATGTGAGAGAATTACTCATATAAGACGGTTTTTCTTCGACACTGCGAATGACCAATCAAGTTCAATGCGAAACATTCCTTATAAAGCCATAAAAGTCATAAACAGTTAGAATTTTCATTTTGGAAAAAATATCTATTTTTTCAAAATGATGGTTACATGAAATGTATGAAATAAGTATATTAGGTTAGGTTAGGTCAAAAGTAAGTGGCTTCTCAACAGAGCCCATCACTTTAAATGCTGAGTGATCTTCCAATTCAGATGGTAAGAGTGCGGCTCTGCCAAACTCTAAAAACCTGATTCCGTCAGCAGTGGGGCAGGTACAAGTTATGTGCTCTGCTGTCTCATCATTTTCCAAACAGAGGTGACACACCTGTATATGCTATATATGATAATTCAGAGGAGAAGGTTTGTTAGACATCGTAGTTCATTCCTACTGTAGTCCAATAGCTGTTTGGTTTCCAAGCTTCGAAAAGTGAATGAACGCCTTCCTGTAGGAATTTGCCAGAAATCCATGGATCTTCTTGCCATCCAGGTGTTCAATGTTTGCTTATTAATGCTTAAAGCGATGCTAATGACAGGTTCTGGTCCCATGAAACCGCTTGCACCACCCTCCTTTGCAAGAGAGTCAGCAGCCTAATTGCCTTCCACGCCAGTATGGCCAGGAATTCGGACCAGAGAAAATTTGTTAAAACTTTCTATTAGGGAGAGTCGTTTTTGGCAATTTGCTACCAATTTAGACGTTGCTCGGTAGGAGCAAAGAGCTTTAAACGCTGTTTGACTGTCCAAGAATATTTTTATTGATCAAATTGAATGGGTTATTTTTTTAGGAGTAACTATTTTTTGAGAAAGAAAGTTTTTGGCTCTTTTCTACTCCTTCTTGATACAAAAATTGCGGTAAGGAAGGAAGAGATCCATTTCAAAAGGAGTAGCTCTATACATAGAGGTGTAGATCATGCAAAAAGGTAACTTTCAGACACAAACTGATAGAAAAAGCCTTCTGTAACAGCTATTTCCATCTAAACATTGAATTACACAANATTCTTTCGAAACAAATACTTTTATATGAACACTGAATTATACAAAAAACATTTTTCTCTACTCAGTTTGTATTCCAAACACTCTTTATGGAATTGAAACAGATATCATTCGCAGGCTTCCCACACAACATAGTGAAAATTCCACTTAGAAACACTGTAATCCTCACTGGTAGACATCGATGTTTCGCCGTAAAACACTTGCCTTAGGGCTCTTCAGTATCAATCTGGATAACTTTATCTTAGTAATACAAACTGAGTAGAAAAAAGAGTTTTCCATATAATTCAGCGATCATATAGAAGTATTTGTTTCGAAAGAATTTTTCTTTCGTGTAATTTAGTTTTCATATGAAAGTAGCTGTTTCAGAAAAGCATTTCTTTTCAGTTTGTGTTCGAAAATAACTTCTTTACATGATCTACACATCTATGTATAGAGTTATACCTTTTAAAATCAACTGTTTTCTTTCTTTGAGAATTTTCCACATTTTTGTTGTATAAAGATGGAGTGGTAGCGAGCCAAAAACGTTTTTTCTCAAATTGTTATTGAGGTTGGATTCTATCAATTTCTCTGCTCACAGTTTGATAGCATAAATTTTCGCTTGAGATACAGCGGAAATCTATGTAATTGCATGCTTTGTTGGATGAAAACAAAAAATTATAATATTTCAGTAGATGAATGCAGACTTCATATTCACCCCCCATCATCTAATATCACGTTTGTTGAATATTCATCATAATAACGAAACTTTGAGATATGTTCATTTCATAAGAAAGGGGAAAATATCCTGTAAAAAGAAAACTATAATCTTTATTCTCACATGGTTATTTCAGAGAATATCTCAGAACGATATTCAAAAACACCTTACTTTTTATTGTCACAAATATTCATTCCTCAATTTATTCAACTAACAATTTGTTAGTTACAATTTAATTGATTCATGCATTTGTTCGACACATTAAAAACGATTGTTCACAAAATTAGTTCCTTTACCATTTAAAAAGACACAGTTGGGATCCGCCCAGAAAAAATCGAACACCCTGTGTGACCGCCAATATTTTTATTTTGTCGAGCTCGAGCAATAAGGTAATATTATAGAAAATTAGATTCCTATCTGCTTCCTATATAGAGATATGGAACACCGCGCCACTGTTGCAGGACCCTGTATAAATAATGAAATGAATAATACAAAAAAATATATGTATAACCCCTCAATTCAATAGGTGTATAGTAAATTGGCGTTCCATTTTTCAATACTCTGAAACAATATTTTTCTTCGGAATCAATAAAAGCTTAAGTTATTTCATTAGTCTTTTTTATTCGAATAAACATTTTATTCATGTAACATTTTGAATCAAGTGTCATTTAAAATAGAACAAATATTGCGAACAATCGTTTTTAATGTGTCCAACAAATGCAAGAATCGATTAAATTCAAACAGATAAAGTGTTAGGTGAATAAATTGTGGAATGAATATTTAGTAAAACAAAAGCATTTTGAAAGATAATTTGTTCCAATGAGAGAAAAGAAAAAGAAATGGGAAAAAATAATTTGCACTTAATAAGTGCAGTATATTATGCTCTAATGAACTCTACTCTACAGCTTAGCTCATTGTACATACTTTCGTTTGCTTTATGCTGAAATGTACGTGCTTATACCAATGATTTACCAATATAACTTAACACAATGCCCGCACAGTCAAAAATAGTGTACTCACTGGGAGCCTCAGGTAGATGTGGTTGACTCTCGGCCCATTCTTTTACAATTTTGACATCCTCTTGAGCATTTTCTTTGGTTTTATTGAAAATTTTCAGTCCTTTGTTCAATACTTCATGGACATCTTCAAAATAATCTTCGATACCCATATCTGTTGTTACCACTGCTGGGCTATAAAAAACAATTATGAATCAGTATCAGCATTGAACAATGATTTGATACCATGCCACTTAGAAATTGTCATCCTGAAATATTTACACAATCAAGTGAATTTGTAGTGGAACTCTTCAATAATTATTCACATTGTATATCACACTTTCCACTTCATCATTCCTCACTGGCTATTCTTGACTGGCTAATTTTCATCGTCTGATCATGCAGATACATGCTAACTTCCTAATTGAATTAGCGAATAATGCACTCTTAAAAAATACCTGTTGAAAGTGATATACTCGCTAATATTCAAAGATGTCCTGTTTGTATTTAAAAGGAGATTGACAATGTTTCATGGTGAATTTCATTAGTTCGGACTTCCATTGTCTAATATCATATAAATTGATTTGAAATGTCTGAAAAAATGAATAAAATTAAAAAATTTGAATGAATAGCTAAAATAAGAGTCATTTAGCAGGAAAAAATAAATAAAATCACAGCAAAATTAAATACCAGCAAGCAAAAAATTGAAAATTCAACAATTGAACAAAAAAGCAAATACAAATTGACAGATTTCATATATTTGTTATTTTCAGTCATTCATTTTTATTTTCAATTGTAATGGTTTTTTCGATCATTTCAAATTATTTTATATAATGATAATAATGATAAAGATCTTATTTCTCATCATAAAATCTCAAACGTAATGAAAAAACAAAATGTTGGAAAAAGGCCGGAGATCATCATAATCATGATATATTCAATGGAAGTCCGAACTGATGAAAATGTTATTTTTATGTCCATCGTGACGAAAAACACATCATATGGACATATATCTCAGGGATCTCTCAAGAAATACATAAAGGAATAGGTTTGTGGTGAGATTAAAGCACATTGATTTTTTTTAATTTTTCTACATTGGGTCACCCTATGTGGTATTTGAAAATTATCTGTTCTAAACTTGGGCCTCTTCAGGGAAGAATTGTAACACAAAATTCATTATCGCAGCGAAGCCAATTTCGTTCATTCACCACTGGCGTGCGCTCATATAAAAACGAAATTTGAGGTTATTATAGAATATTTTGTGGTAAATTACGTATAACCAATCACAAAAACTAAAAACAATAATAACAACAGCGAACAAACTGAACACGAGTTGGATGAGAATCTAATTTTCCCATTAGCGCCTGAATTAATTATTTTTTAGAAAATCGAATTTGAATGTATGAAAAGCACTGATAATAATCTAAAGCATATGAATCGCACAAAAATAATGTATTCAGAATTCAGTTTTTTCAAAAAAAATACGTTACCATATGGTAACGCTAGGAGCCTATGAGGTCAATCAATACGAGTTTCAAACTTTTTATTTCAAATAAATACATGCTATTATGTTTTATGAAATATGAAGAAACATTCAATGCACAGTCCAACATTGTTCTTCCAACTGATGTGCAACCTTCTCCAGCATAACGTCGTCGCTTGTTTTCTGGAATGCGAATAACAAAATGTTTTTTATCGACCTTT